TTGGATATTGTTCCCCCGTCCCTGGCAGTACATCTCAACCACAGCAGCGTGAGAGCAGAAACCTGAAGGTAAATTTTTAAATATCTCTCTATGAAAACGCCGTTGACGAAATATTTTCTCTAAAAGTGAAGAATTCTCTGCAGAGGAATCTGGCAGCGTTATTTGAAAAAGCCGGAGCCGCAGGACGAAGTATATGACGTGCTGAGAGCGTGGGGGTGCGTGTTGGGAGTGTGGTGTGTGGGACGGTGTTTGTGGCCAGTAACCATCTGCGGAGCAGCTGAGCAATTGGCAATGTAAGGAGATGGCGTAATGAGTTGGACGAGGTCTTGCTAAGTTGTCCGTGGAACTAAGCTTAGTGCTCTGGATGTGTGTTCTGAGTAGAGCTTTGCGTCTCTGGAGCCTTGGGTACCGTACGGGGTGCATCGTATATGCGTCGTTGAGGCTCCCAAAAGATCCCATGATCCCATTAACATGGAACCTTAGGGGATCCTGGATCCACCATTGGGATCCGGGCACATGTCCTGCTGGTATCGTTTGATTCTGATCATGTGGACTCAGTTCTCAACCTGAACTTTCATTTGTGGAGTTGATTCAGATTCTGACTGAATATCATGGCACAAGTTGATGTCAACTGTAGCTCTGACTGAGGTGCTATCCAATTCTGGGGCCAGTTTTTCAGAGACAAACATATATCATGGGCTTCATAAGAGCCTCACAAACAGGATTGCTGTTGCATGAATGTGTTGCATCACATACACCCACCAACCATCAGACCACAAATACACTTAACAGCAATTGTGCTGGTGTCAATTTTTATGCTTGTGTGTTGCTTATTGGTTTAATTCATAGCTCCACCTGAAGAGCTATGGATAACCACCACTGGAGTTCATGAGGTCTGAAGCACCCAAAGGAATATTCAGGGATATTGGACTAGGTATGTCTTTTCTACATGGGATTACATCATATCAGAATTGGACCACAACAACTTTTTAGGTAACCTTTGCCCATAGAGCTATGTATGGCATACCAAATTTGGTACACATAAGCTATGAGGGTATGTATATATTCTGTTGGTTTGAGTTAGTTTTGCTTGTTGTTTGGTGGTCCCTGCTCTGACTAGCTGAAACCTGAAATTTTAAAGGAATTTTGTCCTGACCTAATGCAATTTTAGTGATTTCTGAATTGATTCAGACTCTCCCAGGAGATGGGTACAGGTCTGCAAGTATGTGGATGCTACATGCATGAAACTGCTGCTGTGTATCATACCAATATCTCCATGTTTATAGTGAGGTATGATTTTGCAGGGGCAGTGGAAATCCTTAGAGGGGTGGGATGGTCATGTTTCCTAGATTTCTTTTCAGTTAATACCAGTGCATTTTGTTGTAGAAAGCTGAGAGAGATGTGCCCCCATGGCAGAAGATATAAGTATTAAGCAGCTATATTGTCATGCTTTCCAATTTCCCACAGGGGCATCTAGAAGCATGAATGCAGGTTATCAGAAATTGATACAATGATGCTTTTTATTAAAAGGCATTTTCTTGCTATGAAATTCTCTACTTCCATGCATGCTACTTGCCCATGAAAATGCAACATGCAAAGCAGTGCTTGATTTCTTTGAAAATATATTTTGGAATGACTCCGCCATGCTTCTTATTGTCAATGCCCGAGTAATTACATGCTGTGTGCAAAGGAGGACAATTCATAGACCTAACTTGCTAAAACAATTTTTTTTCTGACACTTGAGGCAAATAAAGCTGTCTGCACGCAACATAAATAGTAAGCTGCGGTAATATCACCTTATTCTCAGCAACTATCACTTGCATATGCTTTAACCTTCTAGACTCCCCATCATGAATTTGTGTGGTACACTTCCTGTTTCTGCAGTTATCACCCATAGACAGGTGACTGTGAACCAAACTGGGAACACCTATACAGGATCTAGGAACAGAAACTGTACTAGGAACACCTTTAACATTGGTGTTCACCATGACATATAAGTGGAGCCATAGTCAGGACTTCATATTTTTTTTTTACACAAAGTGGAATCAGAAGTCAGCAGCTACATGGTTTGCACTTGTGAAGCTGAAGCCAGGGGCTCCTACTTAAGAAACCTGAACCCAAAGTCAAATGATAATCAGTTCAAAACCGCGAGGCTGAGATTGAATCTAGTGCCCAATGTTGTTTCCCATATTCAAGTCTATAAGGCTTACATTAATTACAATTGTCATTCTTGATTAATTACAAGGCTGTCGCAGATTGATGAGCAGGTGATTGGACTACAAATAATTTTTTGGTGGCTAGCATCCTCGTCATTGGGTTTTACGACGCACTCAACGGCTGTGGCCATACGGCGTCACCTGTCCGAGCACCGAGGGAATCGAACCCCGTACCCCCTGGCGTCCTAAATGCGCAGCTTATCCACTACGCTACCGGTAACCCAAGCTATCGACCTCGTTTTCCGTTCCGTGTTAGTATGCGCACAACTTTTTGGGCAGCTCTCCGGCCCTCGCTGGTAGTTTATTGGTATCAAGAATGACCGACTCAGTGACTGGTTTTGGTTTTCAGTCACAGATACGTTGCCATCTTGAAAAGTTGTGTCGTATATTGAGGTAACGGGAGAGGCAGTGCTGTTGCGTACTTAGCGGCAACTGCGGTGAAAAATAATGACAAACCTAATGCAGTTTAAGTTGGCTCGGTACCGAAGATAGAGCCATAGCGGAAAACTTGATGCCGAAGCCGAAGCCGAAAACAGCTGCTAAAAATGTGAAGTTGAAGCCGAATCCTACCTTTGAGAATGCTACGATGCTGAAGTCGAAGTCAGAGTCGGTCGTGGAAAAAGGGGTCACAGCCGAATCCGAACCCGAAGTCATTGGGGAAGATTACAGCTTCGCGAAGCCGAAGCCGGTTTCAGAACTGAACAGAACTTCAGAACAGAACAAACAGAAGACTGTTCCAAATGCTTAAGATAATATGGTGACAACCCGCAACTAGTGATCGCTTGAAGAGCCTGCTACACCGGGAAATGCATTGAAGCCGTGAACACCGGCCGTGTTTTCAGCACCGAGGATTACGCGGTCCGTAGGGGTACCGCTAAGCACCTCAGCCACCGGGGGGGGGGGGGGGGCGCCGGCGGGGCTCCTGGTGACATGCCGCCCAGCCGAGTATCTGGCGCTGAGGTGACCGGAGAGTGTGCTCTCAGATACCGCGGAATGCGTTTGTCTTGGCACGGCGACAGCGCGACGGTGAGTGGGGGAGGGAGGGGACGGGGTCGGACGACACCGCCTCCGCTCCGGAAGCTCAGCTCACATGGCGACGCGCTGGGGCCGGTTGGTCGTCACGGGCCGACGGCGGGCCTGCTGCGGACGCCGGCTGGCGGAGCCGACAGCGCCCATTCGATGACTCGGTTAAAGTTTGTGACGTCGATGTTCCGAGACCATCGACAGGCGACGAAGATGTGTTTTGGTTCACGACGCTGCGGTGACAGCAGAAGGACGTGTCAGTCATGTGTCGGTGTGCTGTGTGTGGTGTCCCTGGGATCTGTTTTGGACGATGCTCCAGTTTCAGCCACTGCTCACCTCAGCCGGCCTGCAGCGTGGTCCTTAAAATTAACTCAAGATAAACGACATAGCCCGTGAGGCATTTGCTACATAGGAACAATACTGACGACATAACCTGTATTCTGCCCCTAATGGTTTCTTCAAAACGCCTGAAACAGCGTACTTTTCTGTTCATAACCGTTGCTCAAGGACACGATGGAAGCCCATGGGCCTGCCAAAGAAAACTGTTTTAGTTAAGTGCGTAGAAAGCTGCGACACGCTCTTGTGATCCATTTGTTATCCGTCTGTGGCCATTTTACTCATAACGTTTTATAATCCTGCGAAGTTTCTGCCTTAGCTCAGACCCTACGGGCGCAGTGCAGGCGGTAATGGCGCTCATATTATGTCGGTGTCTTAGTCCTTAGCGCTACAGTCGACGGGCGCTACGCTACGGTCGCAAGGCCTACGGGTGACGATATATGTACACGTCGGACTTTGCTGGGGTGGAAATCTATTGTGTCTAGGAGAATGTATTGTTCGTTCCACGGAAAATGTAAGACTTGTATAACAGACTCAGTCCCAGTAGGCAGCGGGGTTACTGATTTAATGGAAGAACATCAACAGCGTGACCCAGGTCATGGTGCCCGCCGTCTGTGACCGCGATGCCTGCGATAGCACCGGCCGCCCGACTGACTCTGGCCCATTCGCAGGACTGTTTGACGCGTGACCAGCGCTAGCTAGCGACATTGCCGGTGCCGGTCGGGAGGGCCGCGCCGCCGCCACTGCCAGCCATGGCCGCGCTGCGCCTGGCGGCCGCGCGCCTGCTGCTCTGCTGCTGCTGCCTGTGGCAGCCGGCGCCGCTGTGGGCGCGCGCCGCGCAGCACCTATACGCACCGGCCGACGCGCTGGCCGGACACGTGGTGGCGGAGCTGGGCGACAACGCCCGCCTGCTGCCGTCCGAGCTGAGTGACCGGTTCGCGCTGACAAGCAGCGGCCAGCTGATGGCGCTGGCGCCGCTGCGCCCGCTGGCCGGCCGCGCGCTCCAGCTGGATGTGGAGCTGGGCGGCGAGCGGCAGACGCTGCAGCTGCACGTGGGCAGGCCGGACGGGCCGCTCCGCTGCGAGCGCGAGCGCTACGAGGGCCGCGTGGTGGAGAACGCGCCGGCCGGCACGGCCGTGGCGGCGCCGACGCCATCCTGGCGGCCGCGCTGGGGCGTACGGACTGGTAGCCGGGAACGAGGCGGGCGCCTTCCGGCTGGAGCCGCGGCCGGGCGGCGCGCCCGGCGTGCGACTTGTCACGACGACGCCGCTCGACCGCGAGCGCCGCGCGCGCCACCACCTCGTGCTCGAGGCCGTGGCGCCGGCCGGCCACGAGCGCGCCCTGTGCCACGTGCACGTGCTCGTGCGCGACGAGAACGACAACGCGCCGGCGTTCGCGCGGCCGCTGTTCACGTTCGCGGCGCCGCTCGCTCTGCCGCACATGGCGACCGTCGGCCAGCTGGAGGCGGCGGACGCGGACGGCGACCGGCTCAGCTTCCAGCTGGCCTCGCCCAGTGACGTGTTCGTCGTGGAGCCGCTGACGGGCCGCGTGCTGCTGGCCGGCGCGCCGCAGGCCAAGGCCTACGAGATCCTGGTGTCGGTCAGCGACGTGCGGGACGGCAAGCGGCGGCGCGCAGCGGCCGCGCCTGCGCGCGTCCACGTCGAGTTCGGCGGCCCGGCGGCGGCGTTCCCGCCGCGGCGGCCGGTCGGCGGCGGCGGCGAGGTGGATGACCACCACATCGCCAAGCGTCGCGTGCGCCGCGCCGTGCGCCCCACCAAGCGGCTGGAGTTCCGCGAGCGCGAGGGCAACCAGGAGGGCAAGGCCATGTTTCTGCTGGAGAAGGAGCTGGAGACGGAGACGTTCAAGATCCGCGACGAGAACCTTGGGTGACGGTCGAGCCGAACGGCCAGGTCAGCGTTAAGAAGCCCTGGGACTATGAGGAGCTGGGCCACGAGAGGAGCATCGACTTCTGGGTGACGGTCAAGAACGTGCACGGACTGTCGGGCGGACAGGGAGGTGAGTTCAACCTCGGCACCGGCTCGGCCGGCCACCGGTCGCTGTAGGCACGCTGTGACTGTACTGAACGCGTGATTGGGCGGCGCGTTGTTGATTGTGGTGCTGTCTGAGCTGCACACTGTGACTGGACGGTGCGTTGTGGGTTGTGGTGGTGTCTGAGCGGGTCTCAGTTGCGGATGTCGGGCTGTGTCGTCGTGATTGGACAGCGCGCTGGCGATTGCGGTGCTGTCTGAGCTGCGCACCGTGATTGGACGGTGCGTTGTTGATTATGGTGCTGTCTGAGCTGCACACCGTGATTGGACGGTGCGTTGTCGGTTGTGGCGGTGTCTTAGCGGGTTTCAGTTGCGGATGTCGGGCTGTGTCGCCGTGATCGGGCGGCGCGTGATGATTGTGATGCTGTCTGAGCGGACCTCAGTTGCGGCTATCGGGCTGTGTCGCCGTGGTCGGGCGGCGCGTGATGATTGTGATGCTGTCTGAGCTGCACACCGTGATTGGACGGTGCGTTGATGATTGTGATGCTGTCTGAGCGGGTCTCAGTTGCGGATGTCTGGCTGTGTCGCGTGGGCCGCGACCTGCCTAGCGGGACCGGTGGTACTGCACCCGACACATATCGGTGACAAACACGTCGGTCGTGAGGTTCGGACATTTGCGTTGTCGCGCTGCTCTGTGTGCAAGCTGCTTAGGCTGCCAGCTTCTTCAGTATTACCCAGTGCAATGTTGGTGGACATTGCGCACGTCATGCTGTTGCAAACCTTGCCATGTTGAGACACCGAAATCAGTTCGGAGATTTAATTTTCACGATTGGAACTTTTTCCTGTTGTTGGTTTTGGTTTTGGTTTTGGTTTTGGTTTGTTTGTTGGTTTGCCGATCTCCTGAACATTTACCTCTCGAGACGGTGCGAAAGTGGTGGAGTCACCTTTGGCTGTAGCGGCGTTTGGCGTCTTTGGAACAGCACGCTGCGTCTCTGTTCGCCCTGGAATGGCGCAGGGCCTGCCGATTGTGCCGGGGTGCGGTGCGAGCGCACCGACCGGCGCCGCTCGACTCCGACACACTCTCTTTGACCGCCGGGAGGCCGGTCACTCTCTCACTCACTCTCACTCATTTGACACTCTCTCACTCACTCTCCGACACACACTCTTTGACCGTCGGGAGGCCGGGCGGAACGGCTGCTGACGCAGCGGCCGGACTGTCGCCTTCCCCCGGACCGTGTCCCCTCTCCACGGACCGTGTTCCCTCTCCCCAGACGGTGTTCCTCCCCCCGGACCGTGTCCCCTCCCCCGAACCGTGTCCCTTCCCCAGAACGCGTTCCCTCCCCCGACCGTGTTCCCCGACTGAGTTCCCTCCCCACCCCATCCCCTAACCCTGAGCGCGCCGCCCCTCCCTTCCTGGTCGCATCACCTGGCTCAGTTTTTGCATGCAGCACATGGGGACTCATGGGCGGTATCGATCTTTTTTTTTGTCTGCGATAGTACGCAAGTGTTGGATGCATACATTACCAGCTGGTGGTCCCATCTGCCACGGCCAATCGAAATGGAGGAGACGGGCGTGGCTGGATGCGGGCTGGAGCGGCGCGGAGAGCGATTCGAGCCCGCTCTCACAGCGAACAGAGTCATGCGGGCGGGATCCAGACTAGGAGTCTCTCTGCCTCGAGTTGCGGCAGGCGACTCGCAACGGTCAGCCCCGGGCTGTGGCTTTCCTCGAAGCGCGACTCATTCCTCGTCAGTTCGTCGTTTGTCGTTTGTCCGTCGCTCCTCCGCCCCGTGTCCGGGTCCCGCTGCGGGTCGTCATTGACTCCGCCCTCCGTTGGTTGGCCGTCGTCTGTCCGCTTTTGTCCGTCACTTCCCTCTCCATTTCCAAATGGACGCGGCCATTGTTCCGTGCCGGCCGTCGGCCTGTCGCCCGTCTCGTGGGTCGTGTCTGTCTGTCCGCGGGCCGGCCGCGCCCCGTCGTCAGTCCCGGCCGCCGCCGTTGCCGGCCGGCGGCACGGCGGGCGCGTCCCATCCGCGGCCGGTCCGCGACTGCGGCGGTTGGCGGTTGGCGGTTAACGGGCGGGGCGCCGATGTCCGCACGATAGCCGCCGATCGGACCCGGCTCGTCGCGCACGGCACGCGGCCAGCGCGGGTGCCGCGCCACCGGAGTGCGACCGCGGCGCGACACGGGACTGGAGGCGGCCTGTGGGGAGGTCTTTTTGACGGGAACGGCGACGCTGGCGACTGTTTGGAGCGCGCAGCGCCGTGGAGGGAAGCCGAGCGGCTGCAGGAGTCGGCGGGATCTGTGCTGCTGGCCGACTGGGCTCGGCCGGCTGGCCGGCGGCGGTGCGGCCCGCACCCGCACCCGCACCCGCATCGGTGGCCGGGGCGCAGCCGGCGCACCCACGCCGGGCCGCCATCAGCGCTCGCCGTCGCCGGGCCGGACTGCGACCGTGACGGGCCCGCGAGCTGTCGCCGAGCACCTGTCCGGCGCCTGGCCGCGCTGGCAGCACCTGCCCGCGCGCGGGGCAGGCTGCGCGCCGCGTCTGAAACGGCTCGTCGCCGCCGCCGGCGCCGGCCGGTTAAATCATGAGCGGGCGGCGGTGTGGCGCGCCGCGGTGCCGCCCGATCCGCCGCCGCGCGCCGGAGAGGTATCGATCGGGCCGAGATGACGAATGCAGCGCGGCCCGGGTCACGTGCGCCGGCCGGCCGGACGATGACCTCCGGCCGGCGGCGGGCCGAGGCGGACGCCGCGCTCACCTCGGCGCCGCGGCCGCGAGCTGCGGCCCGAGTGCGGGTGATTTGTGGACGGTCGCGCCCGCGGTCGTGTCGCGTTCGCCTCACGTTGCCTCGCGCGCGATGGGCGCCGTAACTCACGCGGTGAGATGTCCCCCGGGTGGCAGCGGTGGACGCCGTCCTCGTGTCGGCGCGCGCGCGCGACGCGAGAGCCGTGTGTCATCTCCGTCGAGCGGCCCGTCGACCGTTCAGTCGGGCCCATCTGTTCATGGCCGGCATTCCGCCGTTTGCGCGTCCCACCCAGTCCGTCTGTCGCCGCCTGGCGACGGTGCGGCGCCGCCGGGGTCGCTCCGCCGTGTCCGGGCCGGTGGGCGGCTGCGGGTGCCGCTCGGACGGTGGCCGGTGCAGCCGGCCGGGCCGGGCTGGGCCGTGACCTCGCCCGGCTGGCGGCCCGGCGCCCGGGCGTCAGCTGTCAGGCGCCGGCCGCGCGCTGCGGCCTCGTCCGGTGCAGGTCGCACGGCCCGGTCGACCCCAGCGACGCCGCCGACGTCGGCGACGGACCGCGGGGGCGGCCAACCGTGGGAGGTGCGCAGCAGCCCGGCGGCCGGCGGCGCGAAGGATCGAAGGATCGGTGACCTGCCCGGTGCGCGTGCCGCTCGAGCGTTCCGGATGGCGGCTCCTTTGTGACGGCCGGCCGGCCCGGTACGGCGCCGAACCGTTCGTCGGGAATGTGACGGCCGTCGCCGCCGGCTGCGCCGCTGAGGGCCGGGCTGACGGCGGAGATGGACCGCTCCCCACTGTGGGCAGGTCGGCTGGCTGTTGGCCGCTGGCCGCTGGCCGCTGGCTGCAGGCTGCTGGCCGGACGCAGTCGGGCCCAGCGACGGCTGCGAGAGCTTAGCCCGTGTGGGGACCGCGCGGCCTGGACCGAGGAGCGCAGACCGTGCGTCGGGATACGGCCGGAGTCTGGCGGCCCGGGACGACAGACAGACCACGGACCAGCCAGTCGTCCGGGACGCCCTCCTTTCATCATAATCCCATGGCGGCGCCGTCGGTCGCTGTCCCGTCTCCGCCGCTAAATAACCGCCGCAACCGGTCATCATCTGAGGCCTTTGTCCCGGGAGTTCCCGCGCAGCGATTAAACCTGTCTGTGGCCGGTTTAACGTCGCGTCCTTGGAAAGCCGCGGCGGGAATGAGCAAGCTTTTTGTCTCTGAGCGCTTCATTTGGCATTAGCCTGTGGATTCGGATTAACCTAAGTGGACAGGCCTGCCAGCGTTCACACGGCGCCCTTGATGAAATAACAGCCGCAGTGCGGGGCGGCAGGCCGCCGCCACTAGCACGAAAGCATCGCCACTGCGACCACCGGCGTGTAAACGCTGTGGTTGCGAGCGGCGGCGTGGTAAACGGGCGTAACGACAGCGAGCGGCTGCCCTGCGCTCTCCTGCAAGCGGACCGGAGCGGCATGCGGCCGCCGCTAATGGCACGCCGCAGTCGACCGCGGCAGACAGCGGCCGACGGCTGTGGGGAGCCGACGTGACCGGCGACCGCGCCCCGCCCTGGCATGACCCGCGGCCGCAGGCGCTGGGACGGGCGCGGTGGCGGCGTGACGGCGGCGCGGCCGCCGCGGCGCGATCGTCGACCGCCGATCGACGGCGCCGGCCGCCGGGCCGTGGCCTGCTCCGCCTGTGGAGCGATGGAGTCGGTGGCGGCCCGGCGGCGAGGCAGGCAGGCTCTCCCCCGCCGGCCGGCGGGCGCGCCGAGGCCGTCGGCCGGCGGATTTGCATGCAGAATCGGCTGTTATGGCGCCTTGTGCGAGCGTAAACGGCGTGTTTACGGGAGGGTCCTGAAAAGATGTAACGGACCGTTCGCCAACCGCAGACGATGTGGGAATTGTGCGGAGGATCTGTTCGTGCACGCAAGCTGCTTACGCGATGTCGCGGCGGGGAGGCTGAGCGGACGGCTGCGTCGGCTCTGTAGACAGATGGGCGGTAACTTGGGGCCGGTGATTTCCCAAGGGATTTAGTGGAGCTCTCCCGAAGCCTCGCTGCCGAGTTGGTAAATTAACGTACTCGTCCTGGGCGCCGGCCAAACTGTTCGGCAATCGGGCTCTGAGAGGCCCAGCTGCTCGGTGAGTGAGTGCCGGGAATGGTCAGGGCCTACACACTAAAAGCATCCAATGGGGATTGCGTTGTTGAAGCGCCTCGCTCTCCGGTCTCAATTCACGGGCAGCCATCCCGCTCTTATTTTCGCCCTATCTCTCACGACGCCCGGCCCGTCTCCCCTCCCCACGCGCGCTC